AGCAAAAGTTGCGATGTCCATGATTTCTACACCGGTTCTCTTTCGAGCTGTCCACGTGGTATACGCACGGCTCCGGACAACTTCATAACGATTCAGCCTCCACACGGTGCTCACTTGGTTCTGCACAAGCTCTAGAATTCGTAACATTTGCATCGAATATAGACGCCATACGTTTGTATGCAGACAACTTTATCCACTACTAGTTATTTGCTTCTTGCAAATTTGATGCTTCTTATATGGTACAATATTTCTCCTACGAAGAATCCAAATTATCCATTCGATCTTTTCGCCAATATTCTAATTCGTCATCCACACATGTAGTTACTAGTTAGTAGATGAACTTTTTATTTTCGCCCCTTACCATATATCATTGTTGCACCAATAGGTATGAGTACATATTGAAATTAAAAAAAAAAAACCAAAACAAAAAAATTAAGTCTAAATACTGTTACATCAATTCCAAAAGAGTGTTGACAAAATCAAAGTCTAAATTAATAAAACACATAACTACTAGACTAAAGAATATATCAACAAACAACCTGCAAACTGGTTAAGTGAATTCTTGTGCTTAAACAATCTAATTAATGATCAGAAAAACAAACCAAAAGAAAGACTATATATATATATATGTTGCCAATTGAAAGCCATGGTTCTGAGTTTTGTTCCAAAGTCAATAAATAGATAGAAAAAAAAGGGAATAATAAATAAAGTCTATAATTCTAAAAGGTTAGAACTCGACTCACAAGATTCTCTCCATTTTAATCGAATGCGGATATGGCTAATGTCTAGCAATGCAGATTCCAACAAAATCGGCCCTCGTAAACGTAAACGTTTCCATTCTCGTCGACTGTTATTAAAAATTTCAATTCTTAAATCCTCCAAGTCTTGGTTGCCTCTTTCTCTGAGAATGCAGAAATACTGAATAAGTTCCTTTTGTTCCGTCTCTCTCATCATCAATTCTCCGTGCATCAACCAGTACCGAGTTATTATTTTCGGACGACAAATGCAAAACAAACAATTTAAAAAAGACGGAAGAGAAGCCACACGAATAAGATTCAACTGCAAATGCTTCACCACAACAGGTTTATTGCCACCATTAATCGCGCCTTGTGCTATAACATCT